AAAAAAAAAAAGAACTGGAATGACTTGTGCTAACCAGAGGTATAAAGTTTACAAAATAATTTTAATATTTGGAAGTAACAAAGAAAATTTGAGCGCTTAATTAGTTTCAAATAACTTAATTTGAACCAAACTTTCTTAACAAAATAAATGTTTGACATGTAAAGGATGTAACTAGCTTGTAATGATATTTTATTCTTATTATTATCTTTCTTTTATGGATTTTTTTAATTTGTATCTTAATACAAGTTAAAGGTACTTTTGCAATAAATTAGTATAGAAAAATATAAAAATAAATATTAATATTAAAATCAATACCACATTAATAAATTTAATTAAACAGTTGATAAATTAAATATAACTTTTTATTTTTTTCAAAACTCTTAATCTATGCTCTTAAAACAGGAATTAAAAAATCCTTTTTTTTTTTTATAAAAGTTTAAACTCCGTTGAAAATTGAAAAATATATGGAGAATATCAAAAACCTCAAAATTTCAAATAGAAGCCAACTGCATCTAAGCCCTACATATACACCAAATCTATAACACTATTTGTGTAATTCTTCCTTACATAGACCCCCCTATGAAAGCAATAAACGAACAAAATCTTTGGTGCAAGATGTTCTTTCAGCAGACGAGACATCAACCATGCCCTAAAATGAAGTTATAACCACCACATGTTTCTTAGCTAGGACAACTAATGCATGCATGAATGATATAGAAAAACTTATACTACTCTCTACTTAAATAGGTAGAGAAAACGTGAAAGACAGAATTGGGGGATCGATTAAGTTTTATTGCCTCCTAGAGAAGACAAAGGAGAATGAACGATAACATGCAGCCAATCTAGTACAAAAAACGAGAACTGTATTGCCACTTCTCATTCTAACATGTGAAGAACAAATTGCTCTGCACATCATATAGAGAAAATGCACCACAACTACTGTATACTAGATCATAAGCTAGAATTTAGAATAGATAAGTAGCACTGTAGTAGTATGCAAATATAAATCTCTAAGCCACTGAAATTGACAACACATAATAATTATTAACTAAGAAAGGTAATTCACGTTTGTTTACCTGCCAGTTTTAGTTTGAAGCGTCCAAG